GTGTCAAAGTCACAGAGAGCTAATGAGATTATTGCTAGGCAACAACCAAGTAGACCTTATTCAGCTTTTCATTCCTTTACTTTCTCAGCAGGACTTTGCATGACTTCGCTTACTGAGATCTAGAGGCATCTAATAGTGAAAGCTTGCTATATTCCACAGTTATCTTTTATTATATAAAAATCATTATGCCATAATAGCCTCTGTGGGGAATGTGTAACTAATGAGTTTGGCTATTTATATCATAACCTTGCTTCTTTTGTTTATTCTTGATTTCTCAGGGCTATATGGCAAAGCTTTACAATTAAGGCCTGTTTTTATTAATTGGCAGAAGCATCCCACCTTGCATAGTTTGATAAGTTTGAAGAAATTTTGATTTTGTCAAGTTTTGCAAGACACTCCGATTTGTTTATAAGACACTCCAATATGTTTACAAGGTATTTCCCAAATGCCTTTGCACAAATTATGAAAACACTTAAATCCATCCCAGATTGAAAATGCTGGGCTCACATCTAAAGATTGTGTGTTCCTGGAAGACTTTAAATAAAATGAATTAGAGGCTGTCAGCACTTCTCATTGTTCTTTGGATTATTGCAAACGTATAAATGCAGGTCACGCAGGTGCTTAGCCCATTAGGGTCCCCTGTGTTTTTGTAACTTTAATTGTGGTTTAATCAGTTAATTAATATACTTTCTCTCATGGAGACTATATCAAAAAAATAGGATGGCATAAATGATGTAAAGAATAGGATGGCCATACATATGATCAGTGCATTTGCTTGGAAAATTCATTGCCTCTCTAGATCTCTAGAACTTCAAAGACCTGTGAGTTTCCAGATCATCACTAAGATTTTTTTTTTTTTGGCATGCTGCTACACTAGATATGGTTACCTTTCTAGCAGTTTGGCCAGTGACATCCTCTGGCAGCAGTTAACATTGCTTTAGCTCTTGTCCGTATTTAGCACATTTCACCTGGTCATTTCATTCTTCCTTCTCTTACTAATGCAAAACCTATTGACCAAGAACTGTTTTTTCTCTCTATTTTACTCTCACTCAGGAGCCCCAAACTACAGTAATCCACAATCCAGATGGAAATAAGGTATTCAGAAAGTGGAAGACTGCTCTGCTCTTTTCAAGTTCCATGTTCCATTCAGTTTTCCTAATCGCTATGTTAATGCAAGTGTTAGCTAGGAAATTAATTAGGAATTCATGAAGTCTGTAGAACCTTATGCCATTTGTAACCTGATCCTGGTGATCGCTTTTCCTCAACCACAATAGAGATCAGATAGGTTGAGAACTAAGAAATTGTAGAGTGAGTTGTTTAATTCTTCTAGTTTCTATTTCAGGTTTCTGGTTTGGAATAGGAAAACCCCCCCACAGTTTTCTTCAAATGCAGGATGGTCTTTTTTTAATGCAATAATTACTAAAGTTCAAGGAAGATACACATGGAGGTCTGTTTTATCTTCTGTTTCTCAGCCTGGTCATTCATCTTTATGCAATCAAACTAGGGATTCTTTGGCAAAGCACTGCTAATTTTAAATTCTCTGGTGGGCTACACCTATGTATGCATTTTAGCAGATGCTGTTCTTATAAAGTTGTAATATCTCTTCCTCCATAGAAACTTGAGTACAGATAATCAATTACGTTTGGTTATTTATATACTTCTTTATTGATAAAATTTATATGACTGCCCATCTCACAAGAAGTGACTAGGCAGCATACTAAACAAATCCAAAGCAGTCAAACCAAAAAGTTAAAAATGCATAAAACATACGAGATTAGATCAAGCAAGGGAGCCATCTCAAGATATCACCAGCCCAATCAACACCTTAAACTTTTCCAGTTATAAACAGCAATTCTGTTTTGACAGTCAAAATAAATTTATGTCCCTTACGTTCCTCTTTGTCTTCCTGAGGATTCCAATAGCCCAGTGCATATAAAAGGTTGATACGACCCTTGAAGAAGATGTAGAACCAACCAAAACAATACGGTCCAGAAAAGAAGCTTTCCACTTCTAAATAGAGGAATAACTTCTCCCTTGAATTTCAGACTTCTTTCTGAAAATCAATCAGCTGCTCACACCTTCAGGGACAAAAATTTTATTGTGGGTATTATCTGTTACATTTTTGTTCTAGTGTTCAGCTTTGATGTGTAGGATTGAATTGTGTTACACCTTTATTTTCTTTCTGTATAAACTTGAAAAGGGGCTAAGTGACTGATAAATCCTGAGATAAACAACTATCACTTTAAAGAAGAAGAAACCCTGTGCTACAGTGTTTAATTCTACAATATGATTACTGCTTCCTAATCCAGTAATTGAAGAAAATATCTCTATATACTTTATCATCCATATTCTTGTCCGATTTAATTTACTTGTAACTATTCTGTTGTGTTTCTGGATAGTAGTTGAGCATTAGCATTAATACTGTAATCTTTTCTCAAGCACATGTACTAGTTTATTTTATATAGATTTGTGACTCGTTTTCATATTTATGTATGTTCGATTTTTATGTTTGCCTTGCTATCACTTCCTCATTACATCATATTTTGGCTTTTATATTACATGTAAACAATATGAAATTTACACTGTATATTTTCATTAATATCAGAATTTTACTTGACCTACAAAGTCCATCATAACTCTTTAACATGACTACATTATTTGTTTTCCCTGTATAATTATATAAATGGTTATAAATCTGCCCCTCCTACTTCCTGTTAAACAGAAGCCAAAATGAGTTTCAATATGGAAGAAAACAAAACTTTTGTAGAAGAAATAATTGTTAAATGTGCATCATTTACCCCTCCCCCCACCAATAAAAATAAAGCCCAACATGATGGGCAAATTCAGTGTTTCCATGGAGTTGGCTTCAAAGGTGATGCATGAAATTTCTTCTGCATATATGTGTCTTGGTTTCATAAGCATTTCTAAGAGTGACTTTTATAACCAAGCAACTCTCTGTATATATCATTTTTCAACCAGTCAGAGCATGATGGTTTATTTTGAATGGATGGACAAATATTTGGGATGGTATGGCATTCACTGACACATTTGTTGGTGTGCATATATCTTGCTGACAATACATGTTTCATTTAAATTAGCATTACAGAAAGAAAGGACACTACCAAGATCTGTTGATATTGATTGTGAATTATGTTTATCCCAACAATAAGGCATTAAAATAAGTTAAGATTTAAAAATCTCAATTGCATAATACAATGTTGTAGTTTTCCCACATGTACATTTGGGAAATGAACAAAAGAATTGTCTCTTATTTTAACCTGGTGATTAATCTTAGTTATCTCAAGTGGTTAAACCAATAGTCATATACAAGTCTCTACTTTGCATAAACCTATATTTGATGAGCTGTTGACCTTATCCTTCAAATATAAGAATTGTGCTTAATTAAGCATATTTTAAGGGTCTTAGTGCCCCTATAATTCTTAGTCACTTACCCTTAATTCTTAAATAAAGTTTATATCTTTTTTTATTTTATTTTATTTATTTCCTATTTTATTTCCTATTTTATTTCTTAATCTTATGTATTTTGCTGCTTTTGGTTTTTTCCCTTTTCCCAAGTTTCCATAAAAACCTTTGCAAAGTCATTTTTTAAAAAAAATATAAGGCTACACTTTTTAGTATCTTTGATAGTGTCCTTTTTAACTGTGTCAACTAACTATTTTTATTATTTATAATCCATCAAACATCAGAGGTACTTGCCTTTTTGATACTAAAGTAGATGTCTAAAATCCGCTGTCTGAGAAACAAATAATTTTAAACTGGCAGAGAAAAAACATGTCTGAAAAGGATAGAGTGAAAATTTCACAAGAAACAAACATAAACATGGATTCTTTTAGCACATCTGTGTTATATAATTTACAAACAACTACTTTTCTGTTCAATATGTTATTTTTTAAAATGATCGCAACAAAATCAAAAGTCTCATTTATATTTCAGCTATATTTGTACTGCAACATTTTCAAGATTGAAAAATATAATATTCATAAGAATCCTTGTAAATCATCAACACCCAGATCGTACTTTGCTGTTTAAGCAAAGGATGCAAATTCTTTTAAATCATACCATAGTCATACTTTTAATAAAGCAACACTTTCTTTATGCATTCAGAACTGGAAGCCTATTATACAACATTGTGCTTTGAAACTTCCCATTTTCCCATTATCAGGGGAAGTGGGAATGGCAGGGTAACAGCTGCTACTGTATAAGAAGCACATGCTCAAAGGCCCTTGAACAGTGGGACTTCTTGATTGTAAAGTACTCTGAATCCTAGCAATAGAAAACCAGTTTGGTCTTGTGCTTAAGGCACTGGGCTAGAAAGCAGGGAACCGTGAGTTCAAGACCCATCTTAGCCATGAAAGCCAGTGAGTGACTTTTGACCAGTCATTCCCTTTCAGCCCAACCTGCCTCATAGGGTTGTTGTTGTGGGGAAAATTGGAGAAGGAAGATGTGTTTTCTGCCTTGAGTTAAGTAAAAATAATAAAAAGGCAGAATACAAGTAAATAAATGCCTTGGATGAATTGTGTCAAGGTCAAATCAATGTGAGGTTTTCTATGTCTACAACATTATTAATGAGCTACAATATTGGCCTATTTTTATAGGGACTATTTAGCTCTACGTCTTGTGTTTGCCAGTCTTAAATGGCTAGTTCTGACAGACAGTGCCCATAATTTTGCTACCATTTGCCTAAAAAGTGTCAAAAGGGCTTAAGAAAACCAAACCTGTTCATTCTTCACAGTTGTATTTCCTTTTTGTTCCTATGAAGTTCAACATAGGTCAATAGGAAATGCATCTCTTTTAATGTTCCTTTCGAACTGCCTGATATTTGACTTAAGACAGAAGCCATCATTCGCTGTGATTATTTGTCTGAGTCTTAAATTCATATGGTCTGCTTCAGAGCTTTGCATGATTTGTTTAATACCATACATCCAAAGCAGACGTTAAGAGTGTGGGTTCGTTTAATGAATTACTCTTGTACTCAACAGGAATCAACAGAAAGTTCCAACACAACCATTGAAGATGAAGATGTAAAAGGTATGATATGAAAAGATATCATATTTTTTATACAAATGTAACAGTTGCTCATGTTTGGTATCATTTGTTTCACGCACTAAGTAAAAATTTCCATTATCTCATTAGAAAAAGAATTAATAGAATAGGAGGTGGGATGCATCAACTCACCTGTCCAAATAATGGCATTTACATCACATCCAGGAGTTTATTGACTTTAGAACTTTAGTAATTTATTTTCCCAGCAGCTATATGTTGTTTGTGCTATTTTAACTATTATCCACTAGCCCTGAACTTGAACATCCTATGTTAACTGGCAGGTATATTGTGGACAGGACACCATGCCATAGTTGTGCTGCTTCCTCAGATTTCTCGGAATATATTTTGGCTCTGTTTCTTGGTTTCATAAGCTCTTCGGTTGCTACACTGTCAAAAGAAATAAGATTGTTTCTGATTTAAATGGTTATTTAAATGTATACTATTTGTGGAAGTATTCCCATGCTGCTTAGTTTTCCCAGCTAAGTGCATCCATTTGCCTTCCAAACATTTCAACAGAATGTTTTGTCTCTGAAAAGCTTGAATGATACAATAAAATCTCAGATAAAATATCATCATCATCATGTGAACTGGTTTCACTGTTTGGGCTGGACTTCTGTTAAATTAAAACTAAATAAATAGAATCTCTTATATACAGTATAAATTCATGCTGTATTTATGGTCAAGTATATCATCTATCCACACTTTCCCATTTTACACCTTTTCAATTGAGTTAAACCAGTAGACCTTGACTTACCACTGGCGATTTCAAGTTCTGATGGACCTGCTTGGTGGATACTTATGACAGATTTCAAGTTCCGATGGTTCCTCCCCTCTGCCCCTGCACAGTCACATGACTACGAATTTGAGTGCTCGCAACCAGGCTGCATTCATGGCTCTTTACAGTATCCCATGGTCATGTGGCCATATTTTATGATGGTTTTTTTGAAAACTGACATTTATTTCTGGTTTTCAGTGAATCCACACCCATAGTGAACAATTGGTTTGCTGAATGACTGTGGCATTTACTTAACAATCTCTGCAAAAAAAAAGTTGTAAAATTGAGTCAGTCATATGATATATAGATATTTGAGCAAGCTGATTTATGACTACCATGGTTACAATTGTGATGTACAGGCTCTATTACAGTCATAATTTGAGGACTACCTGTAGATAGATATATAACAATGGCTGCTATTCCACTCCCATTAAATTCTACTTTTTGGGAGCCAGTTGTGAGGTTGGAAATTGAGGACAAGTAACTATGGGATGGTGTAATAAATGGATGCCAGTGCAAAGCACCTAGATGGTGATCACCATGGGGCACCGTGACAGTCATAAATGCAAAGATTGGGTGGAAAGCTGGTTTTCTTTTTTTGTAAATCATCATAACTTTGAATTTAAACTGACAAGGCAGTCAGTAAACTAAGCCAGTGAAAACAATTAACCAATGGAACAGCTTGCTTTCAGAAGTTGTGGGAACTTCATCACTGGAAGCTTTCAAGAAGAGAGTAGACTGCCATCTGTCAGAAATGGTGTAGGATCTGCTTGGGTGAGGGGTTGGACTAGATGACCTACAAGGTCCCTTCCAATTCTGTTAATCTGTATCTGTATCTAAACAGAGTCAGGTGCAAGCCAAGAGATGAGACAGCAAGACCCAATTGAGTTTCACCCTTTATTTCCTTATATCTAATAGAATCTTGCCAAACTAAAGCTATAATTTTTACCTACTAGATTCAACCTGAAATATTGCAATGTATGACTACCCTGAATCTTGGGAATTGCACAGTCCCCTCCCATCCCACTCCGGATTGCACAGTCTCATAATCTGGATCTCCTACTGGGAAAGCTCTGTGTTGCCAAAAGTTTCCCCTCTAAAATTGCAAGTGCACATTCCATCACATCAAGGACTTGTATAGCTACAGATGCAGACATAGATAACAACATAGATAGAGCTATGCGGAGTTTTTCCAAAAATAAAACCTATTTAAATGCTAGTATTTGTAGTTTTCTGGGTAACCTTTAAAAGTTTTGACTGATTCCTATTATAATAGCATGCTTTCAAAATAAGTCAGGTATGAGTAGAAGACACTGGCCATTTGGATATTAGCACACACCTCTCATTAGGGAATGATGAAAATCATAACTTAACAAGTTAAATAGCCACCAGTTCCTTACATTTATTCTAGAGCTATGATCTATCCAAAATTAAATGACTGAAGAGGACTTTGCCATGTAAGTTCAGAGGCATATTTTTCTAGATGGAGTACTCCATTGTAAATAAGGTTGGATGTTGCGTCATCGTTCCTAATCTACTGCCTTCACTGGAAATGTTGGGATACATTCAGAGATGTATCTGCTGTGAAAATAGCACATGCTGAACGATATAGCACAGTCAAAACATCATTTGTATTTATGATATGAAATTGATTTAGGTCATAAAATGTTTTATAAAATTTGCCAAATTCCATGGGAGTCATTGATCCAAGATTTTCAATGCATTTTGTAAGTTAGCTCATTTGAAGTATAATCTTAATTTATGATGCACTATTTTACCCAGGAAAAGATTATAGGAATCAGTGTTTTAATAATATATAGATATGCATTGCAGGTGGCTGATAAGGAGAGGAATTGTAGGGGAAAGAAGAATTAAGAAGGCCTTCTCATACTGATAACAGCATCATAGACAGATTTTTGTTTTTGTTTTTAATTGTAAATTTTAAGATACTGTACTTCACCACACATGATTGATTGTTTCAGTACAAGATTTTCTCAACAGTGACAGACAAATGTTAGAAATACTAATGCTGTGTCTATCCTTAGTTAAATGTATGTTAGAATTTAGTCAAAATAAAAATGTAAAAAATATAAAAATGGGAGCCTTTCAGTATCTTCCTAAGTATATATAACAGGGGTGTCAACTTCGATTTCATGAGGGCCACATCAGGGTTGTGTTTGACCTTGGGGGGTTGGGGTGGGGCATGGTTGGGGTGGGTGTGGCCAGTTCAACATCACTCATCGAGGCTTTGTTTTTGGCTGCAACACCTCCTGCAGCCCTCTGCCAGTGAAAACAGACTCCCTGGACTCCCGTTTTTGCTGGTAAAGGGTTACAGGAGGCCATTGTGGCCAAAAACAGAGCCCAGGCCAGGCCACACACGGCACTCCCGATCTCCATTTTCGCTGGCAGGCACTGCAGGTCAGCCCTTCGCTGTTTCCAGGCTGGCTCCTAAGCATCCCTCATGCCGGATCCGGCCCATGAGCCTTGAGTTTGACACCCCTGCTGTATAACCTAATATAAACTACTGCATCAATTATTTCTTTTGCAAGTCCTGGTTTTAGGATTAGTGATGCTGTTTAAATTTATTTGATTAGATTCATTTATTCGTTCAATATTATGCATTGGACTTTATCATTATAGCCAGAAAACTGTTAGAATAGTATAACGTTAATAGTTCATATATTTAATGGTACACAACTAGATTAGTTGCAGCAGATTTTGATACTTTTATACACAAGATACTTTTATACACAAGATACTTCCATGCATTTTATAGGATCTGTCTTTTCCTCTCATTATAGTAAAGTTCAGCATAATGAATGAAATTCATAAATTAATTAGAGGTTTATTTACTGATTTATATTATTTGCAGTTGTATCACAATATTATAAATCAGACAAGGTATATTGACTTTGTTTCTTATGATAATTATTTATCTTTGTAAGATCATATATCATTGTGGGAATCTAAGAATATATTTCATGCTACTGGTATGTAAATTGAAACCTAATGTGATTTGTCCATCTCTCTTTTTTTTTTTTAACACATCATATTGATGTTGCAATATTCTGGTCTCATTTGTTGTGTGTAATTAAATGATTACTTTGAGATTTTGTTTTGGTCCTCTTTTCCTTTTATCTCCATCTATCTCCCTCCATCCGCAATACAGTTCTCAAAAAGGAGGGTCACGTATAGGTATTAAGTTTTATTCATCATTCTCCTTCTCTTATTGTGGAATCATCAGCTGAAGTAGGAGTCCTTCTAGGGCAGAGTAAAGAGACATTCCAGCATAGAGCCGATTTGGGGAAGAAAATGTCTGAGATTTAATGCTTAAGACCACTACATATATACTGTTTCCAAAGGGAGGGCAGTTAGTCTGATAAGATTCTTCTAAATAGGTGTTCAACAATAAATAGCTTTATACTATTCAGAGTTGTTCTGGTTGCTTGAATCTAACCTCTCCCCTTACTGTTTCATTTTACTGATCATGTTTTTATTGTCATAGTATCTATTCTTATTATCAATGTCTCCTCCTTATGCTCTATAGCTTCATCCTTATTCAGCTGTTGTGTTTCCATCAATTCAGTGGCAGGATTCAAGGATTTGGCAGATTCACAGGATATTTTGCTTCAATATGAGCATTCTCAGTCCACTCTTCCTCTCCTTTGCAAAAGTTGAGAGATGCAGTTCATGTAATTACTAATTCATTCCCTTGAAATTAAGAGATGAGTCATTTAAAATTAGTTTAGAGGTGGAGTGAAAATAGGCACTTGCTATATTTTGAAGACTTGGTGCTTCTCTTTTGATGTGGATGAATATATTTTCTTACTTCCATGATTAAGTTTCCATTCATGAAACTTAAAAAAATAATTACCCACGTATTAGTTGATCATACATGATTTGCTTTGACAGACAGATTAACTGAACTGTCCTTCATGTTATCTGAACCAGGGTAGCTATTTTTACACACATACAATTAAAAGAAGTTCAAGTTTAATTCATGTATAAGAGCACTAGAGGATAGTGTGCTGCCAAAGACCAAAATTGCTTATATAATGAAGTATATGGAAATTGTAATGACTTCAATTGAAATATATTATTAGGGAATGGTTTATGTTATCTTTCTCCTTTGCAGACCTCTGGTACTCTTGGCATGATATATTTTTGTTCATATTTTAGGGTTGTGATGACTCTAGATGGATATGAAAAA